CCCCAAAACCCCAAAACCCCAAAACCCCATTATAATCATATTTAATTTCAAATGAAGAACAATTAAATTTAAGTTGATTTAAAATAATGGATAACCGTGTTTAGGCATAATCGTACTTAGACAAAGACAAATCAGTAGCTTCATTCAACATGATATAGAATTCTCAGTCTTCTCCTTTAAAAATTCATAATGTTAAGAATGAGAGACATCATTCATCTTCCCCTTAAAACTAAAACGACATGTTCTTCTAATCAGGTAAATTATAAAATCTTTCATATTTAGACATTATAAGAAAGAGATTGAAAATACCTCTGGCAGAATTGCTTAATCGGATGGCAGAGGCCAAGGAATACTTGCCAATAATCAAAGTAATGCCAAAGAAAGTTTCAGATGTAGAGCTCTCAATCTTTGAATTGAGAGACTTATTGCGATCTCAATATGTGACTTACACTCAACTTTAAATAGTCAATGGAACGTTTAAATCTGATATTGATTAATTAATGGAGAATACAACTGCTTAGACTATTCGAAAGGTCATTTAAATAATAGATGATAAAGTGCCTTTCGAGTATTTAGCTGAGCTCATGAAAAACAAGGCTTCCTTTGATCAATTTAAGGTACTTTATAAATTATCCTTACTCTTGATTAAAGCATTAAGAAAAAGAACTTCTTAGAGTTTCAGCAGATTTGGAGAGATTGATGAATAGATTTGGAATGATTGAAATGGATCATAGGAGATAAACCAATGTGTTCGATGGAGTTTCAAGGGAGGATGTGGAGAATATGATTAGATACAAAGTTGAGAAAGCTGAAAATGATAGAAGGATTGCTGAAATTGAGTTAAGAATAGGATCACTTAGGAAAGTAGTATGATTATTCATTATCCCTATGAATTATTTGATAGATGGATTCAGAGATTCAAACTAAAAATGATATGTTCAAAAAGATAGAGAAATCAATTCATGAGATAGATGAGCAAAGCTAATCACAGTTAAAGGAGAAATTCTAGTAGGGTGAATTAGAGAGGCAAATAAAGCAGTTAATGGATAAGTAGAGCCTGAATGAATACAGACTAAATGAGGTTGGAAGGAAATTTATGGATTTTTAAGATGAAATTCAATAGTAACTTAGCGATGTGTAAACAAGCAAGATTGATGTATTAGGAGAAAATATGACTTAGAAGTTCAATGATTTCGATGATAAGCTTATGAAACTAAAGAATATTATTCAGTAAAACATGGAAATGATGAATAGCTAATTACTTAACTCGATTGACGAGGCTAACTTGAGAAGTATGCACGATTACTTAAGCAAAATGGAGCTAATGAACAAAAGAATGATGGCCAACGAAGTAACGATGAAAGAAATGGTCCAGGAAAATTAGTAATTAAGGTCATTTAAGTAGAGACAGCTTGAGGTTCTTGGTGAGTAAGTTTAAAACTGTGAGAATATGATTAACCAGAAATTTACTTTGAGATTGTCTCAGCTAGAAAAAGATTTCGGGATTTCAATGACTGTTTTGAATGAGAGATTAGTCACTTTAGAAGATGAGTTTACTTAAATTAGAGGACCTTTGCTTGATGAATTCAATAGAATTAGAAATGAAAGCAGTGGACTCTTGAGAGAATTAGAGCGCTAGTAAGGGAATTACAGAGAACTTATTGCAGATTATGTGAAAACTCTCGATGCTAAACTTTAGTAATTAGTAATACACCCATCCTAATTTCTTGGGGATTTAGAAACATAAGATGATTTAGTTAGAAATTCAACAAAGCTTAAATTAAAGAAGTAAAATCATGATGGGATATTAAGTAATTAGAATATGCTGGCATCTGTAATTAATTAATAGTTGCTAAATACCAACTCACTTCTTAGTTTAGGCTCATCTGAACTCAGCAATTACTTAAAGTCTAATAAATTCTTGTATTAATAGCACTTAAAAAAGCATTTGAGACAATAAAGCTAGATACCAAGTGTTCAAAAACTAGATTAGCAAGTTACATTTTAAAATAACAACTCTTAATAAAATGTACACTAAAAATCTAATAACTTATCAAGCCCCTAGAGTGAGAGATCACAGTAATAAATATTGCAATAAAGGCAAACTCAAGTTTAAGATAATGGCTAGAGTCCATTGAGTCTATCTTTGATTAGTATTAACAATCAGATTGTTGAAGACGCTTCTCGTTATAAGCTTAAGATCAGAACTTAAAGCGGGGCTAGATCAGCTACACATACTAAGCGAAGGAATAACTCCTCAATTATCACTTCTTACTTATAAAACCAGAATAATTCCAACAATAATAGCTAGCTTGTTGATAGTGAGTATCAAATGAACAGAGGCATTCATACTGGTTAAACAAGTAAAATAAGTAATTAGCAACTTCAGAATGATTAGAAGGGACCCTTCTTTGAAAATGAAAATCAATTAGCCACTGTGCCTATTGGAGGAGACTATTCTACTCTATTAAATAATGTAGCCAATCTTAAGAGGAAGAAGTAGCAACAGAAGCTCCAACTTAACAAGAGTCTCCAACAAAGAAAAAAAAATGGAGCAAGGACAACATTAAATTCAAGTCTTGATATAAATTCATACTCACCCAAAAAAATAGCGGAGTTAAACAAGAGATCACCTATATCTTCTGGATTGCAAACTCATGCGCATACCTAGCCTGATGATCGGACAATGTCAAATAACCCAGCTGGATATGTTTCATAGCTAAAAGATTCAATGAGGAATAGTTAACTAGAGACACCAAATATTCCACCAAATTTCATGAAGCTCAAAGATGCTATAGTGTCGCTTGATGAAAATCAAACAGATGCTACTTCATTGAAGCATCTTGATGTTAAACACCCTTAAACAGTGACGAGTCAGATGTATGAATTGGAAGAGAAGAAGCAAAAACGAATGCTTGAGAAGAATCTCCCCATCACATTACATAGATTCTCACATCTAATGAAGGATACTAAAACCTAATGATATAACTAGATAAATAAATGAGAGACTTACTGATTGAAAAATATTATTAATTGTTAAAATTAAATTTATTAAGAACATAGTAGATACAAATACTTTGGTTTAATCTAATACTAAGTGCTTTAGAGTACTCTTATTCATGGATAAGGAACATAGAGTGGCTTATTATTCTAATGTTTAATGAAATTTTTCTTATAAGTTGTGTCGAAGTGTGCTGGGCTTTGTCTTAATTACTAAGATGCACTCATGGTAGTTTATAGGGCACTCTTTGGTCGAATGAAAGGCTTTGATCTATAGTCTTTATAGAGCGCCCTCTCCCCTCTGTTTTTAGAGTGCCTGATATTTCTCTCTATTTCTCTGTCATTTTTCATCTTACTTGTTAAGAAATGATCACCTCTTTTCTTGAGGCTATTCAGATGATCCATACTATTATCTAGAGTGAAATCTATACTCTCATTATTATAATCTATATTCACATGAAATGTCTTATTTATTCCAAAGTCACCTTTATCCTGATAGTTCCCAAAATCATGACTGTATCTATTATTCAGGAAATTTGAAGATTTTGTGATACTTCCTAAGTTACCAGCCATTTACAGTCTAAGTATATTTTGATATTGAGTATCCATATTTTGATGAAAGTTTCTTTTTTCTTTTATCTCTTTCCACATCTTATCAGAATTCTCACATTATTCCTTGTAGGTAGATTTCCCAAAAAATCTCAATTTATATTAGCGAGGCAAATCTGGTCTCTTTTCAACTAGCTTCACTCCTTTGCCCCAGTTTACGAATGCAGCTTTATACATGCTATTCTAAGGAAAACAGTTATCTTAAACTAAATTAGTTGATCTTTCACCATTTTTTGTACTCACACTTCTAATAAATTTGCTTTTAAATGGATCTTGAAACGCTCCTCTAGTTGTTGTTAAATAATTATTTTTTGGATCTAGTTAGTCCTCAACAGTTCCTATTCTACCTGAATCTTTATAGGGATCAATGACCTCATCTTTTAATATCTATCTACGAGGATTTGCAGCTTGGGTTTGAGGTCTCTTGTATTACTTGAAATATAGTTTCTCTTTTTCCATATTAAAATTCCCCTGTTTGACTTTATCCTTATAAGAGTATTATTCTTTATACTGACTTTTGATCATGTTTTAGGGATAGGGGAATGAAACCAGACTGCTTTGCTGAGGATTCATGACTCTGAGCATTCCTCTCATCTGATTATCTTGCTATCCTAGTAAGTATTCATGATAGTCATCGACTGTTCCATCTTACACCTAAAATGCCTTTGTATTTCTTTTGATACATTGCATGGAAGCGTTTGATCTAAGGAAGTCTTGCAATGTTGTTGAGGAGGTAATTACAGCACTTTTATTACCTTAATTGGCTGTCAGTAAGTTATTATGTTTCTGTTTATTGCTTTTAAATACTGACTCTCTCTCACCAGATTTACCTAGCTTGGGACTATTAGCACCCCTATTAAAAGCAAGGTTTTTCTTGAAAAAATGAGGGTTATACTAGCCTTGACTCTTGGCTAAGGCTAAAAAGTCCTTCAACTTGACCTTTTTGCTTTAATCTTGACTATTTATTTGAAGCTATATATTACTTCTTGAGTCAAGTCTGAGCTGACTCGCTTTATCTGGAGATGTTTAGGTAAGAGTATGATTGAGAGTAGAAGATTTATTAATAAGCTTAGAGTTTGCTGGCTGAAATAAACTGCTGTTGATTTTGGCTTTCTAATTTGTATAACTAGTTGCCCCTTTTTCACTGATAGAACTTTGCAATATGTTTTTTATTGACATTAATACTTTATTAAATTTTATTTCTTTTTTACTTGACTTAACATCATTATTTGTTTGGGGTTTTGGGGTTTTGGGG